GGGGGGGTCAAATAACACAGTGTTGTGGGTACTTTGGCCAAGCACCCGGCCCATCCGTACGGTTCGGCGCCGCCGTACTCGCTGCTCTTGCGCAACCGACGTTGGAGCACACACCCCTCCGGTCACGCTTCGGCGCGCCGTCTGACCAGTGTTTTTGACCGCTTTTCGGGCGCGCGTTACCTCCTCTCACGTGACCGCCGCCACCGGCGCGTGTCGAGCGAAAAGAGCCCTGAACTTGAACTTGCTTTGTCTTTTTCTATTTCTTTTAATCCCGATAGACCTTTTCGACGGCAAGGTGAGGGGGGAGGAGAGGGTAGAGGGGCTGAAAACTTTAATCGCCTGCAACATTCTTTTTGAACCCTAATAGCAAATTCTGACTCCGTAGCGCAAAGGAACAAGTGGATCATTGTTGTGCCACAAGGTCAAACATTTCAAACAGTTCGAAAGAAAAAAGTTGCAGCCCCCAAATCGTTTCTAACCTCAACCACTGTCGAAAAGATCTATTGAAGTCAGTGGACTTTGGGGTATGAAGTTTGATACACTGAACTCAGATTATCAATCAGCTCTGGCGGCGTTAAACTTTGCCTGAAACTTCAAAAATGAAGTTCCTCATTGAACCTGCCCTGCTTATTTGACCAAAGTTCACGAAGTTGAGTACCAGTGCTGTGATGATAGCATACCTTGGGCGTGTGCACGTCCAGGATGAGGCAGTCCTCGCTCTGGGTCTGGCTCGGCAGCGCGCGCACGGCCCGGCGCCGCCTACCCATGATGGACGATGAGTCGACCTGCATGCAGATGTTCCCCGGCGTGGATGCGTCCCGGACGCCGCTCCACGGCTTCTTGGGGACCGGGGCCTACAAACAAAATGAAAATGAATCATGCGTACTTGTCATCGCGAACCAACGCTGAACGGTCGTGCTCGGTGCTCCCACTCACCATGAAGCGCAGGTCGTCGACGGGGGGCTCGGCGAAGGGGACGCCGAGGTACGAGTAGATGGGCCTCTTGTTCTGCTCGGAGACGGTCACGGTGCCGCTCACCGTGCCGAGGTTCGGGATGGTCACGTTCGGGGCCGACACCCCGGGGGCGGCGTCGTCGCCAACCTCGTAGCGGGTCGCGTCCAGCTGGGTGGGCGAGTGGCCGTCCACGTGCACGTCCACGTCAGCGGCGGGGTCGTTGAGCGTGCGGGCCCGGACCGAGCAGGCCAGGGCCAGCAGCAGCGCCGCACTCCACGACGGCGTCCTCATGTCGTCGTCGTCGGGGTCCTCGACGTCGCCGTCGTCTTGCTGCAGGGGTGCGCGACGGCGGTGCGTCGTCCGTCAGCTGTCGGGCGCGAGTGAGGACGGGGTGGCTGTGGTGGGTGCCAAGTGATTTCGAGCCCGCCCCGCCCCACCTCCCCCGCCGTTGATATGCACAGGTGCCGCGGGTTGCGGCGCGCCCGGAGATTAGAAGGATCAGCC